CGCACCTGTGGAGAGACTCGGGGGCTGGACCTTCCAGGGCGGAGGAGGAGGAGGACCACAGGGAGCCCAGGATGCATCAGCGGCACTGCAGCACACCGTCCCATCCCAAAGTCCCTGGCATCGCTCGGACGTGTGCATTTGTTTTCCTCGGCGAGGACCTTCGAGGAGCATCCTCGACCATTTGGCGAAGAAACCACGCACGAAGCCGAAAAAAAAAAAAAACGCAGGAAATGGACGTCCGAGCGATGGCCGGAGTCCGCTCCCCGCAGGTCCCCGGAGACGAGGCCGTTGCCAGTGCGGCAGGCGCCCCATGGAGAGAGACGGCGGGCACCCGATGGGCCTGCCCTTCGGGCGGAGGCCCGGTCTGGAGTGGAAACGCGCTGCATCCCGTGAGCAATAAGGTTCAGTCGGGCCTGTCCCTCTACAGGGGGAAAATGCAAAAATAGCCGAAAAGCAGTCCGGGGACGTTTTTTTTTTGACTGTTGCTGACCATGTCTGGAGTTGCTTTACTACGTTTTCATGTGTTGCCCAAAATCCCCCTGTAGGGGGACACGCCCGACTTACCAGTAAGAGCAGAGATCAGCTCAGCAGATCCCCATGCAGAGCACCGACCCCAACGTATTGTCCTTCACCGAAGCCATCTGGCTCAAGGGATGAAGATTTGCCCACGCCTGCCGGACCAGATTACGCGCCTCGGCGCCACTTACAATTTGAACGACGATAGAACCGCCGGTGGACTTCCAATGGTGGAGAGAGCTGGCCAACCCGATCGACCTATGCGACGGCACCATCGACTACAAAGTGTTCAACCGTCTACCGAAAATCACTTTCGCGAGCCACGCCGAGGTAAAGGTCACAAAAAGTACGAAGGACCTTTCCGCACAGAATGCTCAACGCGCGGCACAGCTCGAGAAGTTCGGCAGAGAACATATCGCACCGAGTGCACCACCCGAGTTTCCTTAACAGGACCAGCCACGAGTCCTGCACTGCCAACGCCTCCGACAAAGAAGGCAGCTCCTCGGCGACCAGCCACGAAAGGACGGAAGACTCGACCAATGCTTCACGGCAGCAGGCACGCGAGTTCTAGACGAACCGCAGTACGACATTGACCAAGCGTTACTCATTCAGGAGCGCACCTACACAGCACTCAATGTTGAGCCCGTTTTCATACCAGTTAACTCCGATCGGGGATGAACGAAGACTAAGCACAACCACCACTGCACGCTGGGCTACATGGGCGCGATTAACCACAAGTTGAAGGGATACTGACACTAGCGCCTATACTGAAGCCTGGAGCTTCTGCATCAGGATCCGCACCATACCCAACACTGACGACCTTGCGGGCGACATGTTGGCGAGGCAAACTCACGCGCCACCCTACCGCAAAGCATTGTGGAGAAAGGTCAACCAGGACGGCACCGATTGGGACATGACAGGCCGGAGGGCCGTCATCGCGGCGTTACCATGGGAGAGAGCCCAGAAGATGGCCGAGAGCGACCTAATCTACTTCGACTCACCACAACCAGGGCCCCACGGGCAGGAGATGACCAACGTCCAGAAGACCCACCAAACTCTGCCCATGCAGGTCTTAAAGGAGGCCGATTTCGAGGATGCCGAACGAAGGGCAATCTACTCCAAGACCTACACCAAGTGCACGTACGATACCGAGGATTTCACAAAGCACGCCACCAGCGAAAACGGCAACATCATGGTGGCCAGCGAAGCGTTGCCACTGCTGGCCTACTTGACGGATGTCGTGGTCACACAAGGAGCCAGGGACATACACCCACAGAGCGACATCTTGATTCTCAACGCGGGCATCTTGCACATAACAGCACAGGCGGGCTGGATTACACGCGCGCGATGGCGACCCAAACGGAGGTTGAACACCATTGGTGGACGTCGACGACATCTAGCTGTAGTACTTCGAGAAACTATAGAGCCGAATACCGGCTACCGATCACAAGTGCAGGAAAGTGTGCCACAAGGTACCAATTCCAATTGGAACCGCCGTACAACAATTATGCGCAGCAGCCACTTCTTGGCAATATTGAATGGCACCCACCAGCCGATGTCGAAGTCGGACCAGACATCGACACCACCAGCGTCGCCCCAGCCAGGATTGCCCCAGTCGATGTCTCTACGGTGCGACGGCCCTCACCACGACAGGCACCATATTAGATCGAATTTGAGAACATCATCGTGCACGGCGGCCCACGGGCCCAGACAGACGGCGTCCACAACCTCACGTGGCACTTCGACAATGACATACGCCAAGCAGCTAACGACATACGCCCCACAAGGCCCTGACGGCGAAGATAACGACCACTTCAACGACGACCACGAGGTGCTACTGGAACTCATGAAGTCCGCACCGCACAAGCGGGCCATCGAGATCAAAGCATGGACGCTCGAGGGGAACCACATTGCCAGAACAGAACGACCACGCCCACCTCTACGAAAGCACAACCCCAACCCGCACACGCCTCAAACAGACACTTCACAACTTACCGCGTACCGAACCCTCAAGCCCACCACGATCCCCCATCCGCCCGCGCGCCCATCACCACCAGCACACCCGCCAGAACACCGAAGGTGGAACCCAAACGAGATGGCAGCACGGCTCCAGGAGCTGGACACCAGCCCAGACATGCGATTCAAGTAGAGGCACCAGCTCATATGCCCAAACCCATGGATCGTCGACCCAGCACCCCACGCGAGGCACATGTTCAGCGAGGTCTACTATTACTACAACGCCGATGCCCATCGCGCCATCCTGGGACAACCCCAGCCACCACCTGCTCATGCACGTCTGAAGAGGGGCGTCTCGGCGACCGACGAGTTCTATTGCAGCGAAAAGAGGAACACCGCGTCATGAATCCGCCACTTGCACCATGAAGCTCAACACAACCACCACCACTGCCCAAGCCAAGGACACCAGCACTGGCAGCTCGCTCAGCATACGTCGACATCTCCCACGTAGACGAACCGCTGGCCAAATACAACCACAGCGGCCTTTACAAAAGACGCTTAGACGCCACCACGGACGAGTTGTGGAACAACACCACGGACAACTCTGAGGTCGAGATCTACATTAGTGACCCCATGAAGAACCAGCACAACAGCCTGTTACATTCGAAAGGCACCACGAGGGTCATCACAGAGATTCAGACGGCGCGCCCACCTACGGCGGCAAACCACCCTGACACCAACCAAGCCCAGCACCAACCGACCGAACCGACTGGACCGCCCCCCACGCTACGACGCAAATGATAAGACAGACCGACGCAGCAGAGGAATCGGACCGCATCAAATAGGACATCAACGATTTCATCCATCCAACGGCCGATGGACCAGCCCAAACGCCAACTGCACCCACGCCAACCCACGACAATCATCCCACATTCAGCGGCACATTAAATGACGCCAAGAATGATCAGCCAACCGACCCAAACCATGTGACTACCACGCCGACGAGCACCAACCAGACGGCAGCTCTCCCCACCACGGCGGCGGCGAGACCACCAAAGGAAGACAACCGGAAGGCACCACCATAACCAGGTTATCAGCGGTGGCAAGCAGCGCCAGCAAAACACCCACCGCCACGACACGAGCAGGGGACCAAGCCAACCGACACGCACCCAACACAACAGACCACTATCACAGCCCAACTCGCAGACGACAGGCGATTTGGTCCGTGGACCAACCAGATCAATCCAGCACCGACTGCCAAACAAAGACCTACCAAGCCAGCCCCTCAGCCGACTCCTCCCACACGCAAGGGCAATGTTCACATTCCCTACAAACCAACCCCACCAAGCACCGAGAACATCAACAACCCAGAGACGCTGCCCGACCAGCCATTGTGCACACGTCGCACGCACCGCGTCGAGCG